TAGTTAACTTTATCCCGTCTGGTAAAAAATTCCAGCTCTGTAAAATATCTAAAATACGATATCTACTGACCAATCAGCTAATAAAATAAAACAGGAAGCTTACCCCTCCAAAAGTCTCCATTCCTTTACATTTGAGCCAAAGTTGAAGGAATGCAGTCAACACATCATCCCAACATGTTCGAGAGACACCAGCTAAACTCAGCTGAACTTGCCGCAGGCAATTCAAGAAAAGCGGAGCGAAGATAATGTGTGTCATGCAACGCTGGACCTTGTCAGTATAAACAAAGTTGCTCAACCTTTATTACTACAACTGTTCAAATATCCAGCCACTCTGCATCCACATGACAAAGTCAAGCTGTTCAAGTAAGGGCAAACAGGACCAGAGGCTATCGGCAGCACATGGCCAAGTCCACACATATAAGTATTTGTGCATGCACGCACACATACAGACGCACACGGGCAGAGGAGGGGAGTGCTGGCAGAGGCTGAATGTGTTTGCCCGCTCCAGGGGGAGAAGGGAAGAAAGGGAGCAGAAGAGCTGAAACAAACGCATGCTGGCTTCTATTAGTTGAGCTGTGGAGCGGGATGGAGGGGTGAGGAAATGCATTCATTCCTTCTGCCCCATCCCTCTAACCCTCCTACCCCATTATCTCCATTCTGGAAAGCGGTGGATGAAAGGGACAACCCCCCAGTGGCAGCACTTCTCCCTCCAAACTTACGCCGACGCTTTCTGACGGCAGCTTAATTGTACGTGATACAGGCAGGGCCCTTTCTCTTTCAAATCTAAAACAGATTGCTTCTCCCTGGGGAGGGGATTATTGGACAAGAGAGATGACAAAGCAGGGACAGTGAAGCCCTCTGGGGGGTGCAGGGCGGAGGGGGGGGCACGCTTGTGGATAGTGTGTGTGTGTGTGTGTGTGTGTGTGTGTGTGTGTGTGTGTGTGTGAGAGAGAGTGTGTGTACACGTGTTTTTCTAGGTTTCCCTTTTGTACATGCCTATGTCACAAGAAGATTATGTTTGTGTCCATGTGTTTCAAATGCGCACACGTGTGGGTGACAACCAAGATCTTGTGTGCAAGATCCAGCCTCTGACCACAAGATCATCGGCTCTTTTTGTCCACTTCAGACAACTACTTTCTTCCCCTCTTTATCACATTTATTCACACCTCCCTTTCTGTTATCTTGGCCTCTTCCACTTCCCCCTCTGTGTCTCTCTTGACCCTGCTTTCTCTTTCTCCCCGTTAAGCCCGTGCTGCATCTATGTGCAGTGACATTTGAACAAAAGCTGCTGCAGACATCACAGAAAAAGCATGAAAACCCTCTCGCTCTCACTCTGTGGTTAAAAGTGCACATTAATGAATAAAGCCCATCAGCGATCCCGCATCTTTTCTCTCTCTATTCATTCTCAGGCCAAAATAACAAGGACCTTGTCAGTGGTCATTCCTGGCTGCTGCATAGCTGAGCCATCTAGTGAAACCCTTTTTCTTCAAAAAACATTATCTTCTCTTTCCAACTAGTCATCAGGGCAGAGGCTCAAGAGAATGACAAGTTGAACAATGCCAGACGCAGAAAAAATAAAAAACATCAAATACATCTGATTTGCCGCCCTGTTTAATGTGTGAAAGTACTAAATCAAAAGGTTGGAGGATCAGGAATTCCTACCAAGGATGACAGAATGAAATGTTTGCATGCCCTGCCCTTTACCGCTCAGATGAGAGGCTGAACAAACACTTGGGGGTGCTATTGTGAGCTACCCAATACCCCAAAATAGATTTACACAGTGTGTCTGTGTGCACCCAGATATGCATACTTCCCTGGAGATGTGTCCTCAAAAGTCATTTTAAGGGCTGCATGTAAGTGCATTGAAAACTCCATGGAAATGTTTCATCACTGAGGACAATAAAGGATCTGAGAAAGTGGCTGACTCATCTAAAGATAGCCTTTCTAGATCCCACATAAATAAAAGCATGCCAAATGCTCACTGTTCAAATACTGGTCATTTGCAGTGATAGGACTGTGCAATCTACTCCGGCGCTACTATGCAATCAGGCTAGTAAGAGGAGCACTATCATTAAGCTGAAGAGATAAACAAGTGCCGGAGGAGAGGGTGGTTTAGGAAATCTTTTCTTAACATGCTCGCACACAAGAGAACACACACAAACTATAGTTATACAGCATCTCTTTCTGTGTTTTCCAGAAAAAAATGTGAGGAGCCGACATTCCATTACACTTCCAGAGCAAAGATACTGAATAATTCAGCACGAGAATTTATTAAGTCATCAGCCAGTTTAAATGATTTTGGTGCAATTTGATCAAAACATTTCATGGCAGTTTGGATAATGCATGATTCCTCCAGTTCCAGGTCCAGTTTCTCTCCATTTCGACACCATCTCAACTCAACTTTTGTGTTGACCCAGAGTAGATCCCTATTTTTACAGGACAATGGAAAGTCCTCTGCGAGGCTTTCAATTTCACTGCCACCAACCCTATAACAATAGAATTCATAAATGTGACTTATGTCACTGTAGGGTCAAGATGAAATGCAGCATGATAACAGTCTGACTCAGCTGAGAGTAAAATGATGGTGCTGATTTGGAGAAAAGAGAAGGCAGAGCTTTTTTATATGGAGTTAGAGAAAGAAAGAATGGAAAAGGTAAAATACTTGCATCCACTGCTCACACATACTAGAATTTAATGAAATTACTTATGAATCCTTTCGAGAAGTACAGCGCATATTAGAACCAATGCATATATTTAATACCCCTTTTATTTCTTACAATAATTAGTCTAGCTGTGAATGCCCTTGACCTTGTTCATCAGTCGGCGTGTATGAAGCCATGCAAGCCATCTGGGAAGTCTCTGATTCACTGTGGCTGGCATTTAAAGGACGCACGCACACTTTACACACACACACACACACACACACACACTTTTGGTTCTATTTGAACAAATAATGAAAAGCACAGATATTACCTCTTCCCTAACACTCGGTCACTCACCCTACTCATCAGAAGAACGATTTACTTAACTTAGTGCTTTCCCGAACGTGTGTGCGTGCACACACACACACACACACACACACACACACACACACACTCTAGACTCAAGCGATGGCAAAGCTACTACTGGAACAACGTTTGTCTTGGCAAGCGTCAACCCCCCCCTTCAGAACCTAATTATTTGCAGCAGCTGCTCGTGCTCTTGTTTGTAGCACAGTGAAGCTAAACTGTTTAAAGGATCTCCCTTCTCTTCTCTCTTCTGAGCTGGCAGCCAGCGCTGCGCTTTGAAACTCCCCATAGCTGCTTTGCTACGCTGGGTAGGGTAATCAGAAATTGAATCTAAAGGCTGCCGGGTGAAACTGAAGTGAAGGGAAGATTTATGGATCAGTCTTGTCAATAATGAAAGTTTCAAGTTGGGTTTCTTCATATTTTTCATTCAGTAACTCAAATTGGTACTGCCAGTGTTTTGAAATGTAAGCCAGTTTGCTAATTGTGACTGGTGCAAGCAATCGGCTTTGAAAAGGACCGCAGCATAATTTTGCCAGTTACGAAAACTAGCTCAGAAGGATCTCTTATTTAGTTTTTTTGGACTGGTACAGTAGGTGAGCACATTGATCCAATTCACATTAAGAAGAAAGTCCCGAGTCACTCACTTGGTACATAAAATGAATTAACTTTAAAATCATTCAGATGCTATGTTATATGTCCATTTTATGCCTCTCTCTGGTTATTAAAGAAAAATAAATCCATAAGTCAAACATCTTACCTCTTATGAAACTGCACCAGTGTCTAATACAAAAAGATTGATCAACCTTCCTTCCCAGTCTCTCAATAATCTTTCAACTGTTCCCCTCATCTGTGAGTATGTGAAATTTTGTACAAATGTCTCCACTGACCTTAAAGCAGTGGTCATCACAACCTATTGGTGGTTGTGTTAAATACTTCAAGTAACAAGCAGGAAGTGTAGCTACGGCTGGTTTACCAAGGTAAACACAAATTCACACAACAGCAGCTTTCACCCTTACAACCTCCTCTCCGCCCGGCTGCTGTTCACACAGCCTTTCACAGCTGCACAATCTCCATTCGCAAACACCCCCCCACACACACACCCTGGAGCTAGGTATAAATACTATACATCATATTCCCACTCCACTGGCAAGTTTTCCTTCTCACTTGACTTGAGTTAAATAGCTGAAGTGAGGTGTACATTCTCTGAGTCTCTGCCTCTCAGCTTAGCTCTGACAGTTTGTCCGGAAAGCGCTCTTCAACAGCTCATCCATTTAGCGTATACTGACACGATCTGCCAGAGGTGCACTCTGAATAAGATTTATGAAAAAACTTATCTGGGCTGAAGGGAGGGAATGTTAAATGCCACACTGAGTTTTGGGATTGTAGAAAAATTCTGCTTTCATTTCCTATTATAAGAACTGAACCGTTAATAGAACATAATTCATCTTTAGTAAAGTTTTAAGATAATAAAAAAATGATACATTCAGGATATCCAAACAGAATAAAATACAAACTGAGTGTTTTAACCCTTGTACCTATTATACCTGAAAGGATGCCCCCACTCATACAGTTCATTATGCAGCATACTTTTTAAGTGACAGCAAGCTTTTTAAAATCCAATCGCTTAATTTCACTATAAAATATCTGCCATTCAGAAAACTAGACATTAACAGATGGGTGCTTATGGATAGGGGGGAAAAATGACATTAATGGAATGTGCTGCCTTCTAATCCCTTGAGACGGAGGAATTTGCGACAGAGGGAATTCCTGTCATTCAGGGGGAAAACTATGAAGTTCAGCACACACAGAGCTGCTGTACAGGCAACACAGATTTACTGCACTTGTAGACTCCCACTCCTGGCTGTATGCTGCATCAGACATTTACCACCAACTGAACAAACTAACAGGCACAGACACTGCAAAAGCAGTTGTGAAAGGAAGGAAAATAGCAGAAAATACACTAAAACAGACAGTGAGAAAGTTGTTAAGTACCTGAAAGGCAGGAGGGTGAGAGGCACGGCTAGGATTCCCCTCTGTGTTTTCTTCTCTCGTTTCTTCACCGGGTCTCCCTTCACTCATAGAGGCGTTCGTGTCTTGGTGCTGGGATTTTAGGTTGAAGACTAGGGGGGACCACACAGCTCCTGGAAGACAACCACTCTCCTCTAATCCTCTCTCCGATGTGATGACACTCTCTAACCTCGACCATCTGTTGAAACACGTCCCGGAGCAGTCAGCACCGCGCTGTGTCAAGAACCCCACTCCCCTGCCCAATCACAGACCGGCTGCTGGGTGGCTCCTTGCTGCCAGGAGGCAGGGACAAGGACACAGCTCAGCGCTGAGGGGAGACACACACACATGCAGTCACATACACACTCTCCGAGATGGAAGCAAGAAACCCCCCAGTCATCGTAACCTGAGAGGCAGAGTAGGAGGAAGGGACAGGGAGAGTGAGAGGAGTGGAAAGAGAAGGAATGGGAGGGAAGAGAGGGAGAGAGAGAGAGCAAGAGTAGAGGAAGAGAGACAAGGGAGCACGTTTAAGTTTAAACTGCTTTACCCTCTTTCACAAGAGAGCTCTCCCTGCAGCCACAGAGTATGTGGTCTAAAGAATCAAACCAAAAAGCAATAAAATTCAGTATTGGCTCTGTGGTGGGAATGCCGTTGCCACTAAACTGTTACATCTCCAGGCACAGAAGCACAGGCAGTAGCCCTCACACCTTAGTGTAATAAATCCTTACAGTCCCGCAGCTGCATTCCTGCCCCCTTACCACCTATTGCCGTAAGTTAAAAACAAGGGCAGAGGGGAAGACACTAAAATTACAAAGCTAAGGAAAGAGTAAGAGAAAGGAAAGGAAGAGAAGTAAAGATAAGAGGGGGTATGGGTTTTACGCTTAGATGGCAGCAGACTGATAAAGCAAACATTTACTATCAGCCCTTAGACAGTAACACCATTACTGGCGCATTTCCTAAATGAATCAACCAATTTTCAAGCCATTCATGCAAAACACAGGGAACGTTAGGTGAGAAAGGCTGTCACATTAATCATTTTGTTGAACCACTGTCCTACTCACTGATCCATTAAAAAGGGATTACAAGACCCTGATGATATTCAGGAGCAACTTCAAAGGCAAACCCTAATGAGTTAATTCCCATTTGATATCCGACATCATCACAATGAGTTAATCAGAGGTGTGAAAAAACCAAAGCAAGACTTCTAAGTGGCTCATTTACATTCTATAAGCTTCATCAACACCCTGGCCTCTATTTCAAGTTCTCCTTTGATTAAAAACTATTAAGTTTAAACAGGCTTACAGACACTTCTTAATGAAGATTTTGAAGATTGCCCCTCTCCAATTGACCCTTAATCAATGGTTGATTTAATTTGCCCATATAAACATATTTATGTACTTTAAAAACATTTCTTGCTGAGCCATCTTTATCATTATTTGCATGACCCAACTGGTAAGATTTCGCACTTTTTATGCTGCATCATTGTTCAGATTTCCCATGTGTATCAGCTTTCCATTTTAATTTGATTGCCCTGCATACAGATAGCAGAGAGATACTGCCACTTTTTTTTAAGTGGGTGCGCGCAGTTATATTCCCCTCAGGTTTACATGAGCATTTTGGATTAAACTAAACAAAGCCTATTTTCACCAGGGACACGTGAAACTTTCCCCAGCTTGGACTGATGTTTGAAACAGGGGTAGTGGTGAGGGAGAGAAAGGGCCTTAGGGGGAAAGAGCTCAAATTAGATTAACTAAATTCACAAAGACTGTCCCCAGCCCCTCCTGCATGGCTACACACATCCCAACCCACACCTCCAACCCCAGCCCCCATTCTCACGGCCGAGAGGTTTCCAAAGGGCCTTGAGGCAGGCCAGGGGCGACCAAATCCCTATGCTCTTTACTGGATTAAAGATGGCTGCCTCACTGAGGGAGAAGGACTGTTTCATCATATGCTGAGCACATCTGTAAACATCATAAATCCATCCAGACAGAAAAAGGTTATCAGGCTGAGTTTCTGTGATGAAAAACACCTACAGCCTTATCCAGCAAGGACTCACCTAGAAACCAAACTTTTAAAGGGGTGGTCATCCACTTATGCCAACACACATTATCCATTTTACGCAGCCACTGCTAATCTCCATTTTCACTTCCACTGACCGACACAACAGCGACAAAAAAAAGCAAGGGCAGAGGGAGGTCTATAAAATGGCCTCATCTTATGAATGACCTGCAGGGGGGCTAACAATTCTCTGGTAACCCCCATTCACTCTCCTTCTCCCCAGCCTTACCTCGCAAAGAATTCACCATCATGGTGGACGTCTAACCCAGAAATTAGCTTTAAGGTGTCCTCCCTGATTGTATCCCCCATTCAGTATGTCCTACTCTCTTATCTTGTTCAAGGTTTACTTTTAAACTGGATTCATGCCTCCTCAGATCTCAACTCACTTCCTCCCCTCTTCCATCCAGCTTTCCAACCATCAGTAGGGACTGCAGGTGCAGGCAGAGGCCAGTTTTGGGGGGCTACTCGGTTCACTAGTCCCATTCTGTATGGCTGAATGAGATACATAGGGGTGTCATAGCTGTGATCCCGCCTCTGTGCAAGTATAGCACGCTAGCTGAGGGATACAGCCATGATGTGGAGGGAGGAAAACCTTGGGGTGTCATTGTCTTGTGCTAGACAGCATTTTAATTGCCAAGCGAATGGCTACTGCGAGACTAACCTCCCTCTGTAATGCAGTGCTGTAGACTCGTGTCAGATATCTGGTGGTTATCTAAGTATTGAATGTGTCAGCTGCTTAAGATCCCTTTGAGTCAGGATGTAAGACACTGAAGACACTACATGTATCAACTACCACCTAATTAACTGCTAACTATTAGAGTAGGGCTTATGGCCACAGTAGAAAAGACAAAAATGTTTCCTAAAAGCTAAGCCCAGGTAAGATCGGGTCAGCAAAATACTCTGTGGTGGTGTTGATGTTCTTCTTGTTAGGTACTACATTTGCATAGATCCTGCTGGTTACCACGACCCCTTACACTTCAGGGGGTTGAATCAGTGTCATCTTAAGTTCATGCCAGAAAGTCACAGCTGAGAGCTTGGGATGACTGGGATACAGCAGGAAAGCAGGACAAGACACGCAGTTGTTCATGAATGTGCAGGGCTGTGAGGAGAAATGAAAGGCAGGAGAGAGGAGGACAGAGGGGGGACTGGAATACAGTAGGGAGACAGAGGGGCAGCGAGGGCAAAGGAAAAATAGAGAGAGAGAAAGCGGGGAATGGAGGAGGAGGAAGGGCTTCAGTGGTTCGGTAACAGCTGAACATGCAGCACACGCATGTGGAGGGAGCTCTCCTCACGCCACCCTCCTGCTGGGCCATGCATGTGTCCTTGTAGTATTTGTGTGATGTGATTTAACACGCATGAAAACCACCCATTCATGCATCGCAGCATCTGCCAAAATATCTTGAATACAGTAAATTGACAAATCCCTACACAGTCACATTAAAAACTATTATAGACGCAGAGTATACCAATGCATTCATTATTGAAAATGGCCTATTAACACATTTACTGGGTTAGTATGTTTTTTGGTAACTCAACTACCAAAAACACATAAGTTGGAGTTACTAGGGTTTGGTTACTAATTCTTTCACAGCTTAACTGAGCTATTACCCTTGTCTTGGTATTCACAACAACAGAGTTATGTGTAGAGATGTAAACATGCTTTTTACAACTATTTACAGGAAATACACCAAACACTACATAGCACAATATATCACTAGTCTTTTTTGAACTTAAAAAAGGTTTCTACATTAACATCAAGGCTGACACCTATCTTGAAAACCCACTCTCGAGCAGCTGACAGCTTGTGCTGCAGACAAAAGGGAATACACTAACACATGATGAACTCATTAGCAGTAACCTGAGATCAAGCATTAGGTAATGATGATAGGATTTAGAGGTCTGTTAATAAAGACATCCACCAACAGACTTCAGTGAGATGCCAGATGTGCTATCACCTCACTGGCACATGTTTACATGACAGTGAACCATGGCCACCAACCATTAGTGTAACCAAGAGTGTAAAGGCCTGTTCCGCTCACGATGCAAGATAATATTACATTTTGATAACATAATATAATTCTAGGGCCTTTAACCAACTTAAATATCATTAGCTCAGAGCAGTTAGCATTTTTATATATTTCCCCATAACATAAAGCACAAGTGACTATCGTACATTGAAAGCAATTGTTTCCATAAGCCACAATGCCTTTATGTCACAATCACCCATGTTGTTCGTCCAGCTTCCCCAAACTACAGATGACTTGATTCTTCTGCTGATCATTTTTTATCTGAAGACAATTCTAAGCTTGATTTCCATTCAAAACATCAAACGACAAGTTGTACCATTAGTAATGATAAACAGGTGCAAATACTACCTTCCACATATCTAGTTCAAAAGGAATGTAGACTATATTGGATAATTTTTGGCATGAAAAAAGGTAAATGCATCCAGATTTCCAAATAACAACAACTGTCAGCATAGACTACGACTCCTTGGCTCTTACTAGCTGCCAGAGGCACTTAAGAACACAAAGACCCCTACTGATCAAGCCTTTAGACATTGTGTGGCAAACAGGGGGCCCCATATCTTCCAAAACCATGGACAGATTCATCAAATCCAAGTCAATGCATATTTCAATAGCGCCTTGCCTGGAATACAGTAACAACAGACCTCTTATTCATTTGCTTTCCCATACTTTAAGTATGTTTTATGTTCAAATAAATGATAAAAACAGTGATAATACATAAAACAACTTCTGTAAAATCTGTCAGACCACCCAGGGAGCCACCTTAAAGCAGGATTAAGACCTTGCAAAAACCTTTATAAAAGTTAGGAAAAGATAGAGAGAAACCGGCCCTATCATTCCCTCTGATCTGGTGAATCACAGGATGACGGGAAATGATTTGGGATAGCCTTAAGCTTCAGTAAATGGGTAAATGGCCAGGAACCAGTGCTGTAAACCATGAAGCTATGAGATACAGTGGGGAGATAATGATCGCTCTCCATGGGTACAAGTAAGAAGATGAAAGACATTCTGACAGCTAAGACAATGGAGGTCGTGTAGTGACCAGGTTCCACAAGCAAAGCCCCAGGGACCTTTTACACTGCAGCACAACTGAATTCTAATTGTAGGGTTGAAGACAGAACATGATGGTGCCTTTTGTCAGTCTTTTAAGGCAAAATCAGTACAACTGAGCGCAACATTCGTTAAGAGACCATCAGCAGTGGATGTTGGTTAGATTAGGAAAACAACACTGTAATGATGGGGTTATAAAATG